TCTTCTTTTCCCTACAGGACTGTCCTCACTTCTCCCAAATCTCACACCATGTCTGATTCAGAGCAGGCACTCATGACAGATGTACTGAATTAATCCATAACAAGTACAGTCTGTCCTCCGTGGCTTCCCCATTAGCGGATGTAATCAACAGAAGATCGAAAATATTTGGGAAAAAAAGGTTCCAGAAAGTTCCAAAAAAGCAGAACTTGCATTTGCTGCATGCTGCCAACTACTTACATAGCATTTACACTGTACCAGGTATTATAAGTAATCTAGAGATGACAAAGTATATGGGAGAATGTGCATAGGTTATATGTAAATACTCTGCCCTTTTATCTAAAGGACTTGAGCATCCGTGGATTTTGGTATCTGCAGGGGGTCCTGGAACTAATCCCCCCCAGATACCGAGGGACAACTGTATACTTTAAGAACAAAACATATGCAGAACTCACACATTCTGAGGCACAGCCCCAATTTGAAAATCCTTGGGAATTTCACAGTACCCTTTCCACCTGGGAAATGCAATTTTCTGGTTTGCAAGGGAAGAAAGAACTTGATAATTTTTTTGGCCCGCGAACACTTTTTTTAAAACAACATCTTAATGTACTGAGTGGAAATGAAGCCAAAACATATGGATTAAGTTTCCTATAAAGTACATATGGATTTTATGAAAACAACAAAGAGGCTTGGATAAAATGTGATCTCCAAAGCAGATTAACCAAGGGTCTTTTTCTAACTCCAAAATTAACCTGGAGCTTTCTTGCTTTAATTATATGTTGAAAGTTTCCTTTTCTGACTTAGTGACTTTCCTAGTCAGAGTTAACATTTTTCGCATTCCTAGGGAAGAAAAATAAGTAACTGAGGAAAAGAAAACATTTTCCTTCTACTGTCATTACCGCCCCCCCTCCAATTCCTTCTCCTTCATAGACACCACCTAGGCCGTTTCATTTCATTGCTAGTTTCCCCTCCTTTTTTTAATTATAATTTTTTTTCCTTCCTCACGAGACTATTCTTTTTAATGTTTGCTATCCTTCCTCCCTCTCTCTTTTTCTCTTTGTTCTCAAACATTAAGAGGAGCCGTATCTCTCCCTCACTACATTCAAGTAAAACATCAGCTCCTTTGGGTGGTGCATGTGGATCAGTTGTCAAGGAAACGTATGGTTCAGCTGGGGCCAGACATCCCTACAAAGTGTTTCTACGCAATCACCTTTGTTAGCAGAAATACTCTTCCTCATAGCAGAGCCTGGACTCCGAAGTGAAGACCACTTGAGCACGAACAACGAGCTGGGAGTGAGAGTGACAGTGGACAAGGATGAAATCGAAGCGGGGAAAAAGAGGTTATAGGGATATTACCTATTAATAGTTCTCAAAAATGTTCACTAATCCAAGCTAACTGCCTGCCCCTACCCAACCCCAAGCAACTCTCTGCTTCCAAAGCTAAACTCACACACTCAATGAAGAATCTGAAAGTCACTATCTCACCTCCTCTTGGTGGGAAACCTCAGGACTGCAATCAGTATTGGCCGTGCGTTCACAGCACTATCTAGCCTGGCCACCGAAAGGGAGAGAGGGAGAACCAGAAGCCCTCTACTTCATTCAATAAAGCTCCATCTCCGAGAGTGGGTCCAGTTCCATCTGCTGTTAACTATTATAATCGGCTCGCCAATGCCACTTGGAATTCCTGTAAGACTGGTTAACAAGGTGAAAGCAGCCCTATCTATTTCCCAGCAGAAAAAAATCGTGTACTTATCTTCCCAGCTTCAAATAAGAGAAGAAAATAGGAAGCTACAGCATTAGATGGAGAGCCTTTTATCCAAGAGCAAGACCCAGAACCAGCATTTTCACAAATAAATTGGATAAAAGTTCTCTTAATTAGGATTTAATCAAATGATAGTCACGCTCCTAAACATTGCCTCGAAGCTTATAGTCTAATTATTTCTTTTTCTCAAAATGAATAGTAGCCATCGTGCCCTGAAGCTGGCTGGATAGTTCCGTATACATTAATGACAGTTTGACGGGGCCATAAGAGGAGGCATAAATGCACCACTAGCTACCAAAAAACAAAACCAAAAACCCCACCAATGTCTGACACCCACAAAACAAGCTGCTTTTACCATACAGATAAAGCAAATCTCTAACCAGGTTTCAAGCCTAGCTTTTCACTGGGAATCGATATTTGCACCAGCTAGAATTGCTCTAGCCAACAGCAAACGCAACAAGAATCCAAGAAATGTTCTCACAACACTTGTGCAAAAGGACTACACCTCTCTTCATCTGTCTCTTTCCCACTCCCCTGACCCCCAGAAATTTCATTGAATCCATTACTTCACCAAATAAATACTAAGCAAGTGCCTAAGGAATACCAGGTATTATTCTAAATGTGCAAAAAGATCTTTGCCCTCAAAGATCTAGAAGAAAGAAATAGATAACAACTAGAAAAATAAGTCAATTGCATAATATGTTAGACAAGGATGTGTGCTGTGGGACACAAGTCCCGAAACAGGGCTCAACCCCCTAGATCGTGACCCGCTTTCCATCAGGGACTGTAATGTTCATCTTCACCTCCCAGCACCTAATACATGCTTGGCATATAGCGCAATCTCAATATTTTCGAAAATTTATAAACAATTAAAGTTGTTGACCAAGCATTTTAACAGTTTTCCAAGTCCCTATCTTAAAAGTGAGGAAAGTTATTAGCAAGGTCCTGATCTATATGAACAGAATAAAGGGGGGAAAAAAATCTAAAAGTTCTTGAAAGAGTCTATTGCATTTTGAAAAATCATGTATTCCCTTGAATACAGAGAAACAAACAACAGGATATGTTACCTAAGATTCATTTTAAACCAGAGATTCTCAGCCTGGAGGCCCCGGGTTTGAGGATGCTGTGAATCCCCTGAAATTGTTAGCACAATTGCAGGGAGAGGAACAGCTGTGTGTGTTTTTCTGGGGAGAGTGTGATACAGATTGACAAAAAATGTTTTCCCTGTGTTACAGTAAACAGAATTTCAGTGAGAAATCCAAGGATAGGAAAAAAGGCAGCAAAAAACATAAACAGTCCACAATGACACTCTGCCGATATTCGTTTGCATCTGGATTAAACGCTGCTTCCTTAAACCAGTGAGATAACAGAAGATTGGGTAAGCTTCAGATCCAAAGACAGAAGCTCCATGAGGACTTCTCAGAACCAGGCTCACCATCATGATAATAAAATCATTAAATAAAAAGAGAGAGAAGGAAAATCTAAGAGGACAGTTGTACCTCACACAGGGACGGGCCCAAAACAGGAATTCCCTTTTGGAAGAAAAAAAAAAAAGCACTTTTACCTTTTCATGGTTTTCAATTAAAATTTCCACGACAATATTCTGAAACTTCAAATCCATGATGGCAGCAACAGTTTCTTCCTGTGGCCTCATCAGAGTTGGTCCAAACACCACTCCTAAATTTGCCACGGTCATGAGGTTCTGCTTGGAGTGATTTGAAACACTAATAAGATGAGGGAGGGAAGAAAGGTCTCTGGTTAAAAGAAGGGGCAATAACTGTGGCCTGTAGATATTTTGCAACTCTGTATTTCCCTAAAAACAAGGAGCCAGACTCAACTGTCCTCAGTGTCCGCCACTGAGATCACTGCATCTGGCAAGGCGCCATGTGATGGGGTCCCTGCCCACCTTCCTACTTCCCTTTCTTTGATGCTCTGCTTAACCACAGCATCTTTCTTAATAATTCTATGTATATGCTAAGCTTGTGTCTCTGAACACCTTCATTTACTGTTCCCTTCTACTTAGAACATTGCTTCTTTCCCCAGGTCATTATACCCTCGCTTCCAGGCACTACTAGACCACATGGCACCTTTGTAAGAATCACCTTCACAAGCACACAGAGCTTGATCAGAACACCCACACTCATCCCTCTGGCGCAGTACCATTGTGCAGTGAACGACCTGGACAACTGTTCTCAGCAGCCCTGCAACCTAATTCGGGTCTCAACTCAAAAGGTCTCATCCTCAGAAACCAAGTTCCATAACAACCCACTTTATAGTCCAATACCCAAGATATATTCTTTATCCCTCACTCGGTCTTTTTACCATTTATCACCTGAAATTATTTTATATTTTTATTTTTAATGTTTATTATCTTTTCTGTCCTAGAAAGAAGGGACTTCATGAAAGTAGGGACTTTGACTATCTTTTTCAACTACATATCTTTGTATCAGCTAGCACCTTAAGAAGGCATTCAACCAATATTTTCTGACCAAATGAATGAACAGCTTTACTAGCAGTAGGACCCTTGGAAACTCATAATATCCTCTGGCCTTCAGTTTCTTTTTCATGTGAAATATGGGTTGTAAAACATAGCATTCCTCAGCTTCCTCTCACCTCTAAAGTTTTACAATTACAGTGATCTAGGAGTCCTTTATATATGAAGAAAGAGCTAATTTTTCCACTGAATTATTAGATTTTGCTTGCTTTGTAAAGAGAGAGTGAAAGGAATAAAATGGATCCTATGAAATAACTACGTATTATTGGATTAAACAAACCTGAAGGACATGTTCAGACTCAGAGTTAGGTAGGTGTGAAACCAAGCTAAATTTGCTAACAGGCTTATAATCACATTTCCAGAATCTGTATGCAGGGAAATGTATAAGATTCTCTTTTCTTACTTCAAATCAAACCCTGAGTTGCTGGCAGTGACATTAAGCAAATAATTATACGACTTCATGAAAGCATCATATTTCATCACTCTTGTCCAAAACACACACAATAAGGCAAGTAAGTGTCCAGCCTGCCCTCGCAGGTGTGGTCCCTGGTATTGTGTAAACAGCCCCAGCTCCAAGTGTTACATATCCAACACCACCGCACGGTGCCCAGAGCAAAATAAAGCAAGTTAGGAAGAAAAAGAGGCTTACTTTGTTAAGTGTTTCACCAAAATATCCAACATTTCTTTATTTTTCTCCGGCAGTTTGTGTACCAAGAAATGGATAGCGTTAACACGAGATTCTGGGCTGCCGCTTTCTTTTAAGAAAAAAAAAAAAAAGAAAGAAAAGAAAAAGAAAAAAATGGTTAGCAGCGAACTCAGAATCAAATATATTCCTAAAAACAATTACAATAGCTCATCCATTAAATCTTCAAGCAGATAATGTGCATGTATTTTGCCACTTTTCAAAGGAAAAGAAAATCCATCTATCCATCTTTCTCCCTATTATGAATCTTATGTGCCTCCCCTATGACGTAATTTCAGCGGGGCTGCAATTAGTGCCTTTCCCTCTGCTGATATTTAAGAACAGAGGGCAACTACGGATTCTCCCTCTGGCACGCTGCACCTCAAGTCTGCTCCTCGCTTACCTGATGAGTCTAGTCACTGGGTCACTGCCCCACAAGACGCTTATCCTCACAGATCCCTAGAAACGGGAGGCATGGCATGCCATGCAGGGCCGCATGGGGAAGCACCGGGGAGGTCAGGAGGCAATGAGCAAAAGGAAAATGTGGGCAAAAGAGGGTTTATTGCAGTATCCACATGAAGGAACAGGCAAGGCAGGGTAAGCAGGCTTAAGACTGGTTGGTGTGAATTTTTTCAGCAGGCTCGGGGGTATAGAGATTGTTCCTGATTATCTGGTACCTGGCTCTGAGGCAGTTAAGGCAGAAGAATATTGGTCTGGAGTGTTAGAACCCGAAAGATGGGGTCGGGGAGGGAAAATGGGCTCTGGATTGGTTAGTTTGCACATGGAAAGTGTGCTCAGGTTAAATATCTCTAGGAATTGGTTAGCCCCAGGAAGGGCAGTCTCCCCAGGGTCAGTCAAGCCCCAGATGTCAAAACATTAGAATAATGAGACATACTTGACAGTGCTTATTTGGAATAAGGGCACTGCAGACACCGTTAGTTAAAATGAGACCGCAGTGGGGCAGGGTGGTCCTTTAATCCAAGGACTGGTATCCTTATAAGAAAACAAAGACGTAGAGGGAAGATGGCCACGTGAAGGCAGACATATGGGAGAGTATCATGTATCAATGGAGACAGAGATTGAAGAGATGCACCTACAAGCCAAGGAATGCCAAGGATTGCCAGGAAACACCAGAAGGTGGATGGGGCAAGGCTCCTTCCCTAGAGCCTTCCAAGGAAGCATGGCTCTGCTGACACCCTGATTTGGGACCTCACCTCTAGAATTGTGAGAGAATAAATTTCTGCTGTTTTAAGCCATCTGGTTTGTGGTACTGTGTCACAGCAGCTCTAGCGAACAAATATTGAATATATTACCTTTATCCCTTAGACTTTGGTATTAATGATCATCCATGGCTCTTACGAACAATGTGCCCAAATTCCCTTTATTGTGTTGATAGAATATTATGGGACAAATCGATAAAATGCTTATTATTGAGAATTATGCTAGAGTTTGTCAGGGGTGTCAAAGAAGTGACCCATAAGAACTAGGTGCTCCGTTTACCACAGCAGGAAGGTAGGTTACAAATCGCTATGGAAGTTCACAGAGAGCTGGCAGGGATGCTCAGGAAGGTTTCGCATAAGGGAGAACGTTTGAGTCAGGGACTGAAGAACGGGAGAGGTTTCAGGGAAGGGTGGAACTGAGGGGTGTGGGGTACATTCTGGATTCAGCAAACAGTGTGAGAACATACACAGCCTATTCAGAGACAGCTCCTTACGCTTACATAAAGGTGGTCAGGGCCAAACTTTGGTCCATAAAGACCAATATTACTCAGCCATAAAAAAGAACAAAATAAAATGTATACACACACACACACACACACATATATATATATATATATATAAACTTTTAAAAAAGAACAAAATAATACCATGTGCAGCAACATGGATTGACCTAGAGATTGTCATACTGAGTGCAGTTAGTCAGACAGAGAAAGACAAATATATGATATCTCTTATAGGTGGAATCTAAAAAAAATGGTACAAATGAACTTATTTACAAAACAGAAATAGAGTCACAGATGTAGAAAACAAACTTACGGTTACCAAGGGGGAAGCGGGGGGAGGGATAAATTGGGAGATCGGGATTGACATATACACACTGCTATATATAAAACAGATAACTAATAAGGACCTACTGTATAGCACAGGGAACTCTGCTCAATACTCTGTAATGACCTACATGGCAAAAGAATCTAAAAAAGAGTAGATATATGTATAAATGATTCACTTTGCTGTACAGCAGAAACTAACACAACACTGTAAATCAACTCTACTCCAATAAAAATTAGTTAAAAAAAAGGAAAACTTGTCTTTACTGGTTGTTTCTAAATTAGTCACTGAAAGTAAAGCAAGGAAGGGATATGAGGAGAGTTAAACTGCGGGGAAGACATACCTGACATTTTTAGAGGATGAATTAGAATGGGGAAAACAGCAAACTAAGAGGGAACCTCTATGTGGTCAAGAAGTATTGAGGCAGGAAGGGGTGGGGACTGGGGTGGGGAAAGGGATCAAACTACAAATAAGGAAAGAGAGCAAAGAAGAATAGTTTGCAGTCAGATGGTGGAATCACCGCTTCCAAGTGACAGCTAAGTGGCCTTGGGCAAGTTACCTAACCTCGCTGGGCCTCAGGGTCCTCACCTGCAAAATGAAGCGACTAGCACTACCTCAGAAGGCCACCTGAGATTCCGTGAGGCGGTATCTGTAAAGCACTTAGCCCCAGCACCCGGCATACAGAGGCACTAGACCGCTGTTAGCAGTCACTGCTGATGCTGTTCACGTCACTGTTGATGTCTGTGTTCCTCTTATGTCAGAGCTACTATGGAAGAGGTAGAATTGACAGGATTTAGCCTCAGACCGGCTATGGGTCAAAGGAAAGAGGCAAAGACGACCGACGTTTCATGTCCTGGTTACCTGGCAGTACGGTCAGTTCTGCTGACAGACAGGAACCCAGGAGGCGAAGCGGGTTTGAGGAGGAGGATGATGGTGGAAGTGATGGAGAAAGTGACATTCAGGGGCTGCCATGCTAGCACGTATCTGGGAAGGGGAAGAGGCTTTAGAGCTGAAGGCCAGCCATGCTCTCCAAAGGGTGTGACCTCCAGCACGTGGCCAAGGCTGCCTGAGTACTTCAGAGGCTAACAGAGGACGCGGTGGGGAAAAGAGCTCCAAAGACATACAGGGGAGATGCCCAGGGAGCTAAGCAAAGCACAGGAGGAGGAAGAGACAAGAGGACCAGGGAGTTTCAGGGTCATCAGAAAGTCAAGTGAGAAGAAACCTGCAAAGACTGGGGAGCTAGTGCTACCCAGAGTTACAGGAGACTGGGGAATCGAAAGACAGAGAAGGGGGCCGCGGCTAAATTTACCAATTTTTACAAAAAAAGGAGGTTAAAGAGTGAAGTGCTGAAGAGGATGGGGAGGGTGGGATTTCAGACCAATGGTTCAAAACAGAAGAAAGGGAAGGGAAGGGGAAAAGAAAGGTAAAGCAGATCAAGAACAGGGAATTTGGGTGGGAGGGAGGGAGACGCAAGAGGGAAGAGATATGGGAACATATGTATATGGATAACTGATTCACTTTGTTATAAAGCAGAAACTAACACACCATTGTAAAGCAATTATACTCCAATAAAGATGTAAAAAAAAAAAAAAGAACAGGGAATTTGTTGGGTCTTCTTTGTTTGGTTTTTATAACTGAGGTGCAATTGACATGTAACATTATATTAGTTTCAGGTGTACAACATAGTGATTCAATATTTGGATACACTGCAAAATGATCACCACAATAAGTTACCAATTTTTTTTCTTGTGATGAGAATTTTTAAGATCTACTCATTTGGGACTTCCCTGGTGGCGCAGTGGTTAGGAGTCCGCCTGCCAATGCAGGGGACACAGGTTCGAGCCCTGGTCCAGGAGGATCCCACATGCCACAGAGCAGCTAAGCCCGTGCGCTACAACTGCTGACCCTGTGCTCTAGAGCCCGCAAGCCACAACTACTGAAGCCCACGCGCCTGGAGCCCATGCTCCGCAGCAGGAGAGGCCACTGCAATGAGAAGCCCACGTGTAGCAACAAAGACCCAATGCAGACAAAAATAAATAAATAAAATAAATTTATATAAAAAAAGATCTACTCTCTTAACAACTTTCAAATATACAATACAGTATTAGCAACTATAGTCATCATGCTGTACATTACAACCTCATGACTCATTTATCTTTTATTTCTTTTTCTCATTTATCTTATAATTGGAAGTCTGTACCTTTTGACCCCCTTTTCCCACTTTACCCACCCCCTGGCCTCCCACCTCTGTCAACCACCCATCTGTTCTCTGCACCTATGAACTTGGGTTTTTTGTTTTGTTTGGATTTTTTTTTTTTTTAAAGAGTCCACAAATAAGTGAGATGATACAGTATTTATCTGTCTCTGCTTGACTTAGGGAATTTGTTTTTTCAAAACGATAATAGTTTCACCTTCTTATCATTATAAAAATTAAATATCTTTTCTGCTAAAATTTTAGGAAACATAGATAAAATAAAAATTCAGTTAAAAAAACACTAAAAATCTGAAACATATATAGTTGAGAAAGACCAAGCAATCAGACTACACAGAACTCCTACAAATCAGAAAAGAGAGAGAGAACCCAAAAGAAAAACAGGGAAAAGCATGGAGCAGAAACTTCATGAAAGGGGACAGCCATACCACCAATAAGTGTACGGAAAAAGCACTAAACCTCGTTAGTTATCAGAAAAACAGAAATTAAAACCACAATAAAGGATTCCTATACACCCATCAGGATGGCTTTAAGTGAATATTAAGCTTGGGCAAGGACACGAAGAAACTGGAACTGTCATAGAGTAACTGGGTGGGAATAATTAAATGGTACAACCACTCTGGAGAATTGTTAGTTAGGCAGTATCTACTAATGTTGAACACACACATTCCCAACGACCCCAAAATGTCATTCATAGGACCATTCACTAAAGGACACATAGCAGAATGTTCTCGGCAGTGGCACCCTTGGTAACAGTCCAAAATTGAAGCAACTCAAGTACCCATCAAGAGCAGAACAGGAGGGTGGTGGTACATTCATGCCATGGAATACTATACTGCAATGAGAGTGAATGATCCACTGATTCACTCAACAGAAATGAATCTCACAAGATAAGCAAAAGAAGCCAGACACATTGGTATATTATGTTTGATTCCATTTACAAAAAAGGTCAAATGCAGCAACCCTCACCTGTGGTGTCAGAAGTCAGGAGCGTGCTCACATATCATGGGGGTGGATGGTGACCGTGTGGGTATGAGGAGGGGCTTCTGACAATGTTTTTTGTTTTTTTTTTTGACTGCACCAGTTGGCTTGTGGGATCTTAGTTCCCCAACCAGGGATCGAACCTGGGCCCTCGGCTGTGAAAGCGCAGTGTCCTAAACACTGGACCACCAGGGAATTCCCCAATGTTCTATTTCTTGATCTGGGGGCCGATTACATGGCTATCTTGACTCTGAAAATTCATTAAGCTGCACACTTATTATTTACACTTATTATTTGTGCACATTTCTGTTACGTTTCAACAAAAAGTTCCTTAAAGTTACTCACACAGTAAGTCTCAACCTAAGATAAGCTACTACTTTTTTAAATTGTTTCAGATCCTTTTTCAACAAGATATTGAATATAATTCCCTGTGCTATACAGTAGGTCCTTGTTGTTTATTTTATATATAGTAGTGTGTATCTGTTACTCCCAAGCTCCTTATTTCCCCCTCCCCTTTCCCTTTTGGTAACCATAAGTTTATTTTCAATATCTGTGAGTCTATTTCTGTCTTGTAAGTAAGTTCATTTGTATCATTTTTTTTAGATTCCACATATAAGTGATATATTGTATTTGCCTTTCTCTTTCTGACTTACTTCACTTAGTATGATAATCTCTAGGTCCATCCACGTTGCTACAAATGGCATTATTTCATTCTTTTTTATGGCTAATATTCCACTGTGTGTGTGTATGTGTGTATACACACACATCTTCTTTACTCATTCATCTGTTGATGGACATTTAGGCTGCTTCCATGTCTTGGCTATTGTAAATAGTGCTGCTATGAACACTGGGGTGCATATATCTTTTCGAATTAGAGTTTTCATCTTTCCCAATATATGCCCAGGAGTGGGACTGCTGGATCATATGGTATCTCTATTTTTAGAATTTTAAGGACACTCCATACTGCTCTCTATACTGGCTACCCTAGTAACTTTTAAATTTAATCATTTCAGAGTTTTCCTTCCTTTTTTGTAATGAGATGTTCAAACAACCTATTTCATTTAATATATAATGGAGGGACTTCCCTGGTGGCGCAGTGGTTAAGAATCCGCCTGCCAATGCAGGGGACGTGGGTTCGAGCTCTTCTCCGGGAAGAACCCACATGCCACAGAGCAGCTTAGCTCGTGCACCACAACTACTGAGCCTGCGTTCCTAGAGCCCATGCTCTGCAACAAGAGAAGCCACCGCAACGAGAAGCCCGCGCACTGCAACGAAGAGTAGCCCCCGCTCGCCACAACTAGAGGAAGCCCACGTGCAGCAACAAAGACCCAACATGGCCAAAAATAAATAAATAAAATTAATTAATTAAAAAAAAATATATATATATATAATGGACATCTCTCCATGTCTTTAAATGGAGTGCAAACCATCAATTTTATGAATATTTAGATCGCTCCCAATGTTTGTAAAGTTAAGTTTGCACCAATTTACACTTCCAGGAGTAGTGTCTGAGAGGGAGGAATGAGATTTTACAACACAGAACACATTGTTGCTAAAGGGAGGGGAGGGAAAAGGCTAGGAAATGAACAGGCACATGATAAAGCAGAACGCAAACAATCAAATCATGTAAAAGACTCTTTGATACAGACTACATTTGTCTTCGAAAATAAAAGTACAGCTATCTAAAGAGTTAGGTGATAAATTACAATCAAGTTTTTAATCTGGAGTTAAAACCAACATAATGCCTTACTAAATCAAAGCTGGAGGAAAATGAAAGCAATAAAAATATAATAGCATTTTCAACTCACAGCTTTGATTTTTAAAATGAAATTAAAGCAGGGACTCTGAAAAACAGTCAAAAATTCCAAAGGAAGAAAAGAATAACTGCCTACAGTAAGAACTTTGTACATTCAAAGACTGAAAATTTTTGAAAACTTCACTGAAACACTTTCTAACTCGTGTGTGTCTTGTCATTAATAATCATTTTCCTCCAAAGAAAACCCAACTTTAATATTTTTTTATTTATCACTTATTGAGAAACACAAAATTGGAAAATAGCTTCCCACCTTCTAAGGATAAGGGCCTTCATTTCTAAGTGGAAAATACTAGAATCAGTTTTAAAAATAAAATCAAAACCTTCCACTTGCTTTTTTGAGTCCCTCTCCCACCAGCTCACTCCCATCTCATTTGAAATCATACACACATTCTTTGCCAAGTCTGCTTTTTCCCTTTTCTTCTAAAAAGAAGAATTTGTGTACAGTAAAACTTTTTCTCCATCTTGTTTCATTCTGTTATTAATTAAAGCTTTGTATTAATGGGCATTTTCATGTGGCTACAATAACAACTTTAAGGTACTCAAAAAGTTTTCTAAGATAAATTACCCTTAGCTGCTTATGCTATGTGCATTTCATTATATTTTAATTGATATAAATTACAAAGAATGCACAGCGTAACTTTTTAAAAATCTGAGATACCGAATTAATCATAACACTAAATTCCTGATGAATGCCAGGGACCAGAGTTTACTGTAATAGCAAAAGCATTTTTAATTGTGACACAACAAATCAGCATCTACAACACTTAATGTCTATCTGCTTATGTTGCTATGCCAGCTAATGGAGACTGAAAGATAGGAGCGTAGCTTACTTGACCTTATCAAAGACACACAGACAGGGAAACTAAAATTTGATATTTAAACGCCATCAGTCAGTAATACTGTAATTTCAGAAAGCATTAGCAGTAACCATTCAAGCACTTCCCACAGCACACGGGGCTTCAATTACCAGACATCAAGCATCCCAGTCCTTCTGTGGGAGACACTACCTAATACCAGAAATTGACTACAGCAGGCTAAGATAGCTTGATGTCATTAAGCATCCGATTCCTTTAATTTCCAGATTTCTGAGTCCCTCCCCACCAAGACAACATGATTTTGTCTTGTTTCCCCTGCAGGTTTACCAATAAGGATAGAACATTCTGGCTAAGCAAATGCCAGTGCCTTGGATCCTATAATAGTTTTCTTTTTCATCATAAGTGACTAAAGTACTTTGTGATTATGATTTTGTTTCCCAGGTACCTTAACTACAGGAAGAAAACATACTGAAGACAGCAAGACACGTGTTCTGGTCTGGGGGACAGAAATTTTTCGTGTGATGCCATATTAGGCGTCCAGGCTTCAGCTGTCATTCTCAAACCAAGTTTAACATGAGTCCAGCCCTGAAGCATGGATCCAATTCTTACCAATATGATCCATCAGAGATGCTGAGCCTGAAAGGCTGAGACACACACCAAGGACTACAACATTCTCAAAGGTAATAAACATCATGCAGTAAGAGAGCCAGGTAAATACCTGCCAGCCTTCCCCAGCTGGGCACGATCTTCTGACTCCTGCGTAAACCAAGCAAACTGTATTCTCATCTTACAAATTTCTATTCTAAAGGCCCATTATATTCTCTTGCAAGATGGATGGTGTGAAATAATAATAAATATACGCATACTGGTCTCTGCACCCAGTTCCTGATGCTGAGCTCCTAAAAGCCTTGTATTTGGGGGTGCTCAGAGAGTCTTTAGTTCTAGTATTTCTAGTTTCTTTTTTTTTTTAATATTTTTTTTTATTTTTGCGGTGTGTGGGCCTCTCACTGCTGTGGCCTCTCCCGTTGCGGAGCACAGGCTCTGGACGTGCAGGCCCAGCGGCCATGGCTCACGGGCCCAGCCGCTCCACGGCATGTGGGATCTTCCCGGACCGGGGCACGAACCCATGTCCCTTGCATCGGCAGGCGGACTCTCAACCACTGCGCCACCAGGGAAGCCCTCTAGTTTCTGATACAGAGCTCCTAGGGGCTCTGTCATTTCCTGAGTGATTGGAATGTCTGACACCAAGCTCCTAAGTCCCCTGGAATTTGGGGGCTGATAAGAACATCTTCTGTTTTAAGGAGGTGACTTTTGGTGGGCTTCTAGATGGGGGCTGGTCACAAGAGAGGTTAGAAGCTTGGAATTTTCAGATCCACCCACCATTCTCTGGAGAGGGGACGGGGCAAGAAATGGAGCTAACAATCCATCATGGCTACAGGATGAAGCCTTCATAAAAATCCCCCTAGCACAGGGTATGGACAGCTTCCAAGTGGGTGAACGTATCTATATGCCAGGAGGGTGGCACCCCCCAACTTCACGGGACAAAAACTCCTGCACTCAGGACACTTCTGGACCTTGCCCTGTGTACCTGACTGTTCATCTGTATCCTTTATCATGTCCTTTATTATACCATAAGCTGGCTAATGGACATTTCCATTTCCCTGAGTTCTGTGACCACTCTAGCAAATTCTCATGTCCAAGGTAGGGGTTACGAGAAAGCTGATTTCTAGCCGGTCAGTCAAAAGTACCAGGGATAACCTGGGACTTGGAACTGGTGTCTTTCATGGGGGGTACAGTTTTGTAGGACAAGTCCTTAACTTGTGGGATCAGAGGCTAACTCCAGATAAACAGAATCAGACCTGAATCCAACTGCAGGACACGCAGCTGGCATCACAGAATTGGTTGGTGTGGGGAAAACCCACACATTTGGTGACCAGAAGTGCAGTACTATGTGTGTACAGAAGACACACAGGAGTGACTTTCCTAGACAGAGGGTCTCCAGTTCCTTTTACCAATTTTAAGTTAACTCTCTCAGCTGAAAGGGTTATTTGGACGCGTTCAAACAAAAGTTTTTTTAAAAAAATTCTCAATGCATCCACCATTGACCAGTAGGTATTTCTTTTAAGAATGAAAAACAAAAGATGTTTGCCTTCTGTGGTGACAACAAAGAAAGAAAATTCACATTTGTATCACACACTCCAGAAATTAACTCACAGGTTCTCAGGGGAACTCTACAGGAAAGAAACTGATGAGAAGAAATGAAGGGACCCAGGAGAACCTTCAGAACCCTCAGCAGGGAGGGGAGAAAAGATCATCTCAACACCACAGAACAGACTGAAATTACTGCACATGACTGAAAAGAATCAAAATTTAGTTTCCATGCTGGTGTGAGAGGCAGTAACAGAGATGGGTGATGCTTGATCATTTTAGAAGTTAGCTCAGCTAAGACACTGCAGCACAACAAGGGAATCTCTGCCATCGTTAATGGAAAATGATAGTTTAACTGCAATTCCAAGTTTCCAACATTATTCAAGAGGAGACTAATCCTGGCCACCTGATTTCTGTGACCGTTTTAGTCAACACTGGAAAGGATACATGCAAAGATTAGAGGACCTGCTTCTATACTCTTTCCTGAGAGTGCTCACAAGAGAACTGAATAAAAAATGAAAGTCTGCACTGGAAATGTTGGCCATGAAAATACACCCATTTAATATACCTACTTTTCCCCATTAAACAAGGTAACTATGGGTCCCATGCCAACCGTAACTCCACTTGGGCGCAAATACCTGCCAATAATTACAGTAGCTACAGTGTTTCTCTGGAACAGGCTTGTTATTCAAGTCATTGTGAAGACTCTAGGCCAGATCCCAACACAGTCAGGAAGCAGAACACAAGGTACTCGTCTAGGAGGTGACGCTACCCTTCGTACTGGCACAATGTCTTCTCCCACAGTGTTGAAAGATAGCCTCAACAACTCTTGAAACTCACCTCCTACCACCATGGACTTAGTAAACACTTGTAAGTTCCTACCTCTTCATCTAGTAAAATACATCGATGTTAGAATTTCAAACACACTGGATTCGGTTACAAGGCGTGATAATGATACTAACCTGTGGTAACTGAAAACTTTATTCCATAATCCCTTTATCTTTCTCCAATTCTCAAAGGATTCTAGATTAAAATTGGCACTCTTTTGCTTTTTCCAGTCTCTGAGGCAAACATGAAACAACTGTCCTCCAATGAGAGTTTAATTTCTCTTCCCCCGGTTTGCCAAAAATGCCACAGGGAAGAATCAAAACAACTAAACATTTGCTTGAGTTTTTGCCAAGAAATCTTTCCCCCACTTCCTTGATCATACAAACTCCCCTTAAAAAGAAAAAAGAAATCCTCTTCCATGTGAAAACAAAAGTGAACGGAACCATATTTTTGCCTTTTCCAAATGCCTGTTTTATATGCAGAGTCTAACTGGGCCTAACTATTCCTTCTTTCTGCAACCTCCTAGGAACCTTCATGCTGGCTGGAGCAGGGACCTCACAAGAAGACACATTTAAAGCAATGTTCAGGCAGCAGTAACACAGGACCCAAAGGGATTGCTCTAAAGTTTTCAACAGATTAAACGATGGAATACATCCAAGGGAAGAAAATAAAAGGAAATGGAGATACAGTTACAACTACTGTCAGTGCACCTGTGAAAACCAATACTGCAGGTTTTAGCCAGTGGAACTGGGGTTTTGAATTTTAAATAAAGATCTCCAAAATCTGGCAAGTTACTTAACATGTCTCCACCTTCCTTTCCTTAACTATTAAATACCTAACACCAGAATATTTTGGAAGACTCTGATGATTTAACACCAAGTGTCGAACAGAAAAAGTGAGTGTGTATAACAGAGAGTGTAAGAGTGTATCAGAGAGAGAAAACAAGAAAGCTTGAAATGAGTATGACTCACAAAAAATTTAATCACAAATTAAAATGCTACCAACTATAAGCCTTTTTCATTTAACATTTTATCACATAGAATTCACTCTCTACCAAACATTGTGTGGGCTTCCGGTATGAGCTCACAATATTCCTTCTGCCTGCAATTTCCATATCAATATCTTTCTACGTGAAGTCATTTCCAACATGCAAAACTCTCCGAATCTGCTAATCTCCCCAACCTTCTGTAAGTTAAATACTCCTGTGTTCCCATCATACTGTGCTCATGTCATTATTATATACATTATGGTACAGGGAGAGGTGTGTGCGCCCCAATACTTGCTAAAGAGTTGGCTCCTGGGGGCAGAAATCCTTTCATGGCTCTATATATCCATTATATACCAGTGATTAGTGCACAGTAGGAGATAAATAAATGTCTGTGAGTGAATGAATGAATGAATGAATAAATATATTAATTGTCCCTTTTTTCATCTTCTAAAAGTAGGGGGGGCAAACACCTCCTCAAGTGATTTCCATTTTTAACACAGATTACAATAACATAAAGATAAATTTTTCATGTGGAAATTTCAGTTTGTACACACTGTCAATCACAAAACTTATTTCTATCACCTCGATGTAATACGTACTGGCTGGAACAATGAAGTCTCCGTGTAATTCATAGGTCATCAGCGGCTCTGGAAGACTCCTGTATTAAAAGGACAGCTTAGAATTACCAAACAAATACAAATAGGTCACCTCTTTTTGCATTCATTTTTTATAAAAGGATATTAAATATGTCATGCATTTCTTAATGTGCAAAACTTCCCTAGGAAATACTTTTACATATCAAAAAAGATACATCATTCAAATGGATTCCTTTATTAAGTGTTATCTGTACCACGCACTGTCCAAGCTTAAGCAGTCACAAATCTCTATCAGATCTAAGCAAACAGTATTTCATATTTAATCTTGGAAAGTACCTTTATAAACATCTGATTTCATGTATAAAACTCCCTTCCACACACTAACTTATTTAAAGTCAAATATTCTATCCAACCAAATATAAACATATAATTTTGAAAATCACCTCTAGGATATTAACTGGATGCCACAAAAAAAAATATGGAAAAGATTAAACAAATTTAAAGAAATCAAGTCCTCTTTTTTTTTTTTTTAAGATTTTTTTGATGTGGACCATTTTTAAAGTCTTTACTGAATTTGTTATAATACTGTTTCTGTTCTATGTTTTGTTTTGTTTTTGTTTTTGTTTTGGCCATGAGGCATGTGGGATCTTAGCTCCACGACCAGGTATCGAACCCACACCCCCTGCACTGGAAGGTGAATTCTTAACCACTGGACCACCAGGGAAGTCCCTCCAGTCCTCTTCTCTTACATCTCTATTATAAACATATGATATCCAATATTGATGTATGCCTATGAAATAACAGAGAAATGAAATAAAATTGATGACAACTTAAAAAACACCCATATCATTTTAATTTTCTACAAACAGATTACATAAATGGTAGGTTTTTATCCTGTGGTCAACAGAATGTTACAGTTCAATCAACATTTATACATATCTTAAATTTTAAAAGACCAGATCTCCAGACTCTAAAAACACCTAAGGAACACTAAGACAAGTTATCAATCTGTACAGCCCTCCTGGAGGGCAATCTGGCAGGATAAAAGATAAAAACTTTTAAAAGGTTTAAATCACGTAGCCCAGAAATTCCTCTTCAAATGCTTAAAAAAAAAGACATCAAAGATACACACACAAAAAAATTTTAAACATATGCAAAAGCCAAAAAAATGCCAGGGATAAAAAAGGTCATTTCATATTGATAAAGAGGTCAATTCATCAAGAAGACATAATAATCCTAAATGGTTGTTTGTTTTTTTAACAATCCTAAATGTTAGTGGGTCTAATAACAGGATTTTCAAAATGCAGGAAGCAAAAGTGGATGGAACTGCAAGGAGAAATAGACAAATCCACAAATATGGCCAGAGACTTAAATACCTCTCTGTCTCAATAACTGATAGAACGAGTAGACAAAATCCGTTAGGACAGAGATTTGACCAAAGCTATCAACCAACTTCACCTGACTGGTATGTCCATCACCTAAATGAAACGCCATCCAAAAGCAACAGAAGACACATTCTTTCCCAGTGCGTATGAAGCATTTATCAAGATAAAGATATTCTGGACCATGAAACAAATCTCCATAAATTTAAAAGGGTTCCATTTATACAGGGTATTTCTCTGATTACAGTAAAAATTAAATTAGAACTCAATAACAGAGATATCTAGAAAACCTCAAAGAAAGGAATATCAGGAAGTATTCTGAATTGAAACAAAAATGAAAATACAACATATCAGAATTTAAGGGATGTTGGTAAAGCAGTATTTGGTGGTAAATTTATACCACTAAGTACCTATGTTAGAAAAAAGAAAGGTCTTAAACTTTCTACCTTAAACAGCCAAAAAGAAAGTAAATTAAACCCAAAATAAGCAGAAAAACAGAAACAAAGATCAGAGCAGAAATCAATTAAACAGAAAACGAACAAACAGAAACAGAGAAAATAAATAAATCCAAAAACTGGTTCTTCGAAATAATCAATAAAGTTGGTAAGTCTAGCCATAATAATTAGGAAATAAAAGAAAGCACAAATCACCGATCAGAAATAATAGAGGTGACTGAAGAATCACTCCAGGTTCTAATGTATTAAAAAGAAAATAAAATATTATGAAAATATTCATGCCCACAAATTCAACAGTTTAGATGAAATGGACAAAAGTCTCAAAAGACACAAACCACTCCAAAAGAAATAGGTAACCTAAGAAATAGGTAACCCATATCAATTACAGAAAATGAATCTGAAGTTAAATATCCTGCCAATAAGAAAGCTCTAGGCCCAAATGACTCACTGATAAATTCTATCAAACAGTTAAAAAAGAAATAATACCAATTCTATGCAAATCCTTCCAGAAAATAGAAGAGGGAATATTTTCTAACTCATTCTTCGATGTCAGCATTTACCTTAGTACCAAAATTAAATACATTATAAGAAAACTACAGACCGATATTAACTCATGAATGTAGATGCAACTATTCTAAATAAGACATTAGCAACTGGAATTCAACAAGATAAATAAAAGGATAATACATCATGACCAAGCTGGGTTTATCACAGAAATGTAACTGCCTTAATATTAAAATAAAATCAATGCAACTCACCATACTAGCAAACAATAGACAATTCAGTGGAGAAAGGATAGTTTTTCCCACAAATGGTACTGAAACAACTGGACATCCATATTCAAAAGTGAACTTGGATCCATATTCTATATCTTATACAACGACTAACTTAAAATAGCTCATAGATCTAAGTGTAAAACCTAAAACTATAAAACTTCTGGAAGAAAACATAAAATCTTTGTGACTTTGGATTAGGCAAAAGCACAATCCATAAAGTACAGTCCATAAAAACTAGTAAATTCAACTTCATCAAAATTTTTAAATGCTCTTTGCAAGGCACTTTTAAGGGAATGAAAATACAAGCCAGGAAGCCAGGAAGAAAACATTTGCAAAGCACATTATCTAAAGACTTGTATCCGAAACATCAAGATTTGGCAAGGATGTAAAGGAAATGGAACTCTTGTACATCGTAAGTGGAAATGTAATGAAATACAACCACTTGGGAAAAAAGTTTGTCCGTTTCCCCAAAAGTTAAACATACACCTATCGTACAATCCAGGCGTTATACTCTTAGGATTTACCCAAGAGGAATGAAAGCCTACGTTCACTCAAAGATTTGTACACAAAGGTTTTTAGTAGCTTTATTTATAATAGCCCAAAGCTATAAGCAACCCAAATATTTATTAACAGGTAAATGGATAAAACAGAAATTTGTGGTGTATCCATAAAATGGAACACTAGCTAGCATTGAGAAGGACTGAACTATTGGTCCTTGCTACAACACAGGTGAATCTGTAATTATGCTGAGTGAAAGAACCCAGATTTTAAAAAGTACATGCCATGTTACTCCATTTATATGAAATTACAGGAAGTGCAAATTGATGTAGAGTGACAGAAAGCAGCCCAGTGGTTTGCCCAGGGATGAGGGAATGAGAAAAGTGAGAGATAGGGAGTTCAAAGGGGCTTGAGGAAACTCTGAGGGTGATGGGAGGGTTCAGCCACTTGATTTTGGTGATGGCTTCACAGATGTACACACACATCAAACTTATCAAAATGTATACTATAAATATATGCAGTTTATTGTACGTCAGCTACACGTCAATAAAACTTTAACAAAATGGAAAAACATATTTACAGATTATGTTCCCTACATACAATTTTTTATTGAATAAATTTCACTTGGAACATTGGATAAGTTTAAGGTGTAGAGCCTATTATTTTGATCCATTTATATACTGTGATATCACCGATGTGTCAATATTTATCACATTACATAATTATAGTGTACTATTATTGTCTACATTCATTATACTGTACCTTAGATCTCTAGGGTCTATTTACTACTCATTACAAGTTTGTACCCTTATACACCATCAATCTTATCCCTCCACCATCCCCTAGTAGCCACCATTTTATCTTACAAACAGTGTTTGATGCTGCAGGACACACATGGACACACACATGCGTGCGCATGCGTGTGAAATGACAGCTGTAGAGGCCGACACTAAAACTTAAAAGCACTAGTGAAGAAAAAACTGTTCTTTTATTTCCTCTCTCCCTCCCCTTCATCCCCTACACTCTCATTTAGGAAAGAAAAATAAAATGAATTACACCACAGACTAAATAAAGAAAAAGAAGAGGCAATCAGAAGGAAACCTTTGGTTTTGTTTCAAAACTCGAACAAGCAGGAAGCAGCAATGAAGGAAAATGCTAATCTGTCAGAGAATGAAAGTTAAAGGGTTTCGAAAAGAAAGGGGGAAAAATGAGAACACTCGGAAACCCCATAGAGAGCATTTCTTTTCCAATAAAAAAGAATTTGTATCTAGGTAACTTCTACATGCTGTTTATATCATTGCTGTATGTCTAGCCAGGCAATGCAGCATAAAAAAATAAGTATTAAGTATTGTTAATGCTGGGGAAGCAGTAATAAAAATGACAAGTTCCCCATACAAAATTCATTATATTGAGTCATCATACCTGTCGGCTTCTCACCCAACATGAGCTGCCTCTCACTGGGATCTGTCTATGGGTATAAAGCGTAATATTTACTAGGATGGCATTTTCTTCCCCAAAAGTCCCATTCTCATTTCCAGGCTTAGAAGTTTCTTCCAGGTAAAATCATTTTACTACAAACCTCACAAAATAGCTCATCTCTCCCCTGACAATGGGAAAATGCTGAAATGAACACATGACCGGAAATCAAAATTATGGTCAGAACAGATGGGAAATCAACCAGAGGGCTGGAATCAACCCTCATTTTAGTTTTAAAAACAAAAAACAAAAAACAACTTTGCCTCAAGTCAGAAGAAGAAAACGGGAGACGCCATACATGTGTCTATTGCACATATTTTTCTATCTCCCAGACCCTGGAGGCTTTGCTCCTCATTTTAGTTTAGTGTTTGTTTGGGGACGGAGGGGGGATGGGGATGTTTGGCTATTTCCCTTCTTCTATTTCCAACCTCCGATCCAATATTTGCAACGAAAAGAATTCAAGGGCAACAGCTTC